ATCGTGCCGAAAAATATCCTGATGATCGGCCCGACGGGGTGCGGGAAGACGGAAATCGCGCGACGATTGGCGAAGATTACGGATTCGCCCTTCGTAAAGGTGGAGGCGACGAAATTTACAGAGGTTGGATTTCACGGGCGAGACGTCGATCAGATCATTCGAGATTTGGTGGATAATGGGATCGCGGTGACGAAACAAAAGATGCGCGCGAAGTTTGAAAAGTTTGTGGAGGAGTTGATCGAGAATAAAATTTTAGATTTTGTGTGCGGGGAGGGGGCCAACGACGAGACGCGCGAGGCGTTTCGGACGTTGTATCGAGACGGTACTTTGGACGATCGCACGATCGAGGTTGAGTTGCCGGATTCGGGTGGGCAAAACATGAAGATCGACCCGAGCGGGGGACCGATTCCCATTCACGAATTAGTCATCAAGGTTGATAAATTGTTCGGAAACCGCAAGAGCACGTCCAAGCGTAAAATGACGGTGGCCGAGTGCAAACCTTTGATCGAAGAGATGGAGTTTGACAACTTGTTGTCCGCGGAGACGATCGCGAAAGAGGCGATCACGGCGGTGGAGAACGATGGGATCGTGTTCATAGATGAGATTGATAAGATTGTGTCGTCGAGCGATTACCGTCACGGCGCCGACGCGAGCTCCGAGGGCGTGCAGCGCGACTTGTTGCCGATCATCGAAGGCTCCGTCGTGAGCACGAAGCACGGCAACGTCAACACCGACCACATCTTGTTCATAGCCTCCGGAGCGTTCCACAGCGCGAAACCGAGCGACATGCTCGCCGAGTTACAGGGACGATTGCCCATTCGCGTCGAGCTCAAAGGTTTGACCGAGCGCGACTTGTACCGAATTTTAACCGAACCGGAGATGAACATGATCGCGCAACAAAAGGCGCTCATGAAGACGGAAGGGATCGATTTAGAGTTCACGAACGAAGCGATCGAGCACATCGCGAGCATCGCGGCCAAGGTGAACAAAACGGTCGACAACATCGGCGCCAGACGACTGCACACCGTGCTCGAACGCATCGTCGAGGATTTGTCGTTTGACGCGCCCGAGAGATATGCGAAATTCGTCGCGGCGGGCGGCAAAGGCGAGCTGCAGGTCAAGATTGGCGTCAAAGATATCGACGACGCGATCGGCAACATGCTCAAGCAAGAGGACTTGAGTCGATTTGTACTTTAGGGAAACGTTTCATCGTCATCGCTTGTTTTTTAATCACAACAATCATCAGTCATCCATTTTACTACCATCGTCTGGATCGTTGCCCGTCGGCGACGGCGGCTTCGCGCCTTCGTCCATCGCTCGCGTCGGTCGCACGTAGCTGCTCTTATACCGGCGACCGCGTCGCGCGACGCATTCGTACAATCGCGTTTGGTACGAATCCGCGTCCTCTCGTTCGTCGCGCAGCAACTTGGTCGAGGCGGCGTACGCGCCGCCTGCCCGGCATTCAAAGCACACGATGCGCGTCGAACACCCCGCGTTCTTGCCCTCCCCGTGGATCGGAGGAAACACCTCGGGCGGTTGGCACCGTCCGTGAAACATTCTTTCGCACCCGACGCACTCGTGCAGCAAATCCGCCACCGTTCCGATGGACGTTTGAATCCCCCCCCCGCAGTTCCCGCACGTCCCGCGCGTCAAATCCTCCTCGTGCGCCGCCTCGTACTCCAAAAAATAATTCTCATACGCCGTCAGCATGCGATTCCCGCAATCCGTCATCGTGTGATTTTCGTAGTGATTAAACATGTTTCTGAAAATCTCCGCCGCCTTGATTCGCTCCTTCGCGCTCGTCCTCGACGCGAACCCCCCCAGCGAGCACACCTGTCGGTACAGGTGCAAGCAATCCAGCGGCGCACCCGTGCGCCCGACGACTCGATCCAAATTCGCCCAGCACTGCTCCCAATCCCGTCCTCGCTCCTGATGAAACCGCATCAAATCAAACGTGAAATCCTCCAGCGAGCACGCCGCCAGCGCCGGTCGTCGCCACGCCGCGCTCGCGATCGTCCCGCGTCCGCGGCGCGTCCACGCCGGGCAAAACCCATCGTCGCCGTCGTCCCGTCCCGTCGGCGTCTTCACCGCCGTCGTCGCCGCCGTCGTCGTCGTCGTCGTCGTCGTCGTCGTCGTCGCGCGCGTCCCGTCGTCGTCGTCGTCGCCGTCGATCGCGGTCGTCGTCGCGCCCGCGCGTCGCGCGTCGTCGTCGCGCGTCGCGGCGTCCATCGTCGTCGTCGCCGACGCGACGCGCGACGCGCGTCGTCGTCGCGCGATGGCGTCGCGATTCGACGCGCGCGCGCGTCACATCGGCGCGCCGATCGAGGCGTCGAATCCGATGTTCGGCACGCTCGGAAGCCTGTTCGCGAGCGGACCGAGGCTGAAGTACGACCTCGGGCGCGAGTTCGCGTGTCGCGCGTTCGGCGTGTGGACGCACCGACGCGGGACGTGCCAGGTGCGACGAACGAACGCGACGCGACGCGAAGGATGAGTGAATGAATGAATGAATGAATGAATGAATGAATGAATGAATGCGTCTGATGACGATGATTGACGAAAGGAAACGCGCGCAGGAGACGGGAGAGGAACACTCGATATTCACGTTTCACGCGGACGTGAATCGCGATCAACAGCGGGTGAGGCTGGCGAAGAACGGGGCGCGACGGATGAAGACGCTTCGACACCCAAACGTGCTGCTGGTGAAGGACGTGATCGAGATCGAGAGCGGGAACGAGCTGACGATACACGTCGTGACGGAGGCGGTGACGCCGCTGGAGGCGCACCTGCGGGAGGCGCCGATCGGGGGGGGGGGGAACGGGCAGAGGGATGATTATTTTTCGCTCGGGGTGCGGGAAATCGCGACGGCGGTGGCGTTCTTGAGCAACGATTGTAAGCTCGTGCACGGGGGGGTCGGGCTGAGCGCGGTGGTGGTGACGGAGCGGTTAGACTGGAAGTTACACGGGTTCGATCTGTGCAGCGAGCTGGAGAGCATCGGACACGGGGTGAACGGGGACGCGGCGCTCATTCGCGGGGCGTATCTGGTGCCGGATCAATACAAGCCGGAGGAGTACAGAAGGGGAGACTGGGTGATCATTCCCGAAGGGCCGCCGTGGGCGATCGACGCGTGGGGGTTGGGATGCTTGATTCAGGAGGTGTACAGCGGCGGCGCTCTGCGCGGGACGGACCAGTTGCGCGAGATTGATCAAATCCCAAAGTCGCTGCTGAAGGATTATCAGCGTCTTCTCGGCTCGCAACCTGCGCGACGGTACAACCCGAAGAAGCTCATCGAGAACAAAGAGGCGTTTTCGAACAAGCTCGTGGAGACGATCACGTTCATCAACAACTTGGCGTTGAAGGATTCGATTGAAAAGGAACGATTCTTCGGCCACCTGCCGCGCGTGTTGGAGCAACTCGCCCAGGCGCCCGTGCAAAAGAAAATCTTACCCATGTTGTGCGACGCGCTGTCGTTTAATCAAGCGCCGCATCAAGCCATCTTACCCATGCTCCTCGCCGCAGAGGAGGTTCCGCGCGATCAGTATCAAAAACTCGTCATCCCGACGGTCATGAAGCTTTACGAGGCGCCGGATAAGATGATTCGACTGGATTTGTTGGAAAATTTGACGCGATATGCCGACCACGTGCCGGATGCCATGATGGATGATCCGTTGTACGAACGTCTACAGACCGGCTTCGCGCACAACGACTCCAACGTGCGCGAGATGACGCTGAAGGGGGCGCTGACGTTGGTGCCGCGACTCTCCGAGCGCGTCATCACGGCGTCGCTTTTGAGGCATTTGAGCAAGTTGCAGATTGATGAAGATCCGGCGATTCGCGCCAACACGACGATTTGCCTAGGAAACATCGCAAAGTATTTGAGTCAAGCGACGGCGAAGCGGGTGTTGCTGAACGCGTTCACAAGATCGCTCAAGGATGGATTTCCGCCCGCGCGACTGGCGGGTCTCATGGCGCTCGAGCACACGACGCAATATTATGAACCGTTAGAAGTGAGCCAGCGGTTGATCCCAGCGCTCGCGCCGCTCATGACGGACATCGAAAAAGACGTGCGAACGCGCGCGTTCACCGTACTTGAGTTGTACGTGCAAGGGTTAAAAGGGCACTCAGAGGCGCTCGAACTCGGCCCCGAAGCGGCGGCGGCGCACGTCGAGGCGCAACAACAGAAAGGGCACGCGAACGCGGCTAAACGCGCGGCAAACATGCTTTCGTGGGCTGTGAACATGGCAGCGACGAAAATAGGCGGACCAGATGACGCGCACGAACCGGTTGATCTTCAGAATGAACGATTGATGGCGAAATCATTCAGTTCGGCGGCGCCGCCGCCGAAGTTGTACGGCGAGAGCCCGCGAACTTCGACGCAAAACACGCCGGCGACGTCTCTTGGACCATCGCCTGCGAAAGCCATGACATCAAACGCGTACGACTCGAGTCGCCGAACGATCGAGGCGGCGGCACAAAAGGTGAGCGCGCTGTCCATGGGGAACGAAGACTTGGAGGACGACGACGACGACGGATGGGGCGATTTAGACGTCGTCGATCCCGCGGAAGAAGCCGCCCGCGCGCGATTGAACTCACGCGCGGGTTCGAGCGCGCGAGCGCCGATGAAAACATCCATACCCAAAGTGGCCAGTCACGAGAGCGATGGTTGGGGTGACGACGACCTGTTCGAGGACATGAGCGCTCCGGCGCCGCCGAAACCGTCGGCGAAGCCGCCGTCCCAGGCGCCGCGCGCGTCGTCGGGATTCAGCGGTGCGCGGTCGATGGGGGCGACCGGCCACGCTAGTATCGGTGGTGTGCGCCGTCCACCGTCGAGTGGATCGCTCGGGGGCGGCGTGCGCTCGATGGGAGGCGCCAAACCGCCGCCGATGAAGCTCGGCGGCGCCAAGACGTTGTCGAAGAACGACATCGATCTCGAGGCCATGCTCAACGGATAGTTTTAGTTAGACCCTACGTTCTGTTTCGATGATGTACAACAGTAAACTACTAACGTCTATATTCTTGATCCCATCGTCAGTGACGCTGTTGTTGGTAGTCCCCTTCGATGAGCGCTCCGTACATGGACAAATCGGTGTCGATGGCGCGTTTGAAGACTTCGGCGATGACGCCCTTCTCCGCGCGCTCGAGGTCGCGCTTGATCCAGTCACCACCGTCATCGATAGTGTTACCACCAGCGTCGACTTGCGAGTACAGATAAATATCCTCAAGCCTATGCGCCAGCAAACGAGCGCGCGCGATTTCCCAGGAAACCACGTACGGGTTCGCCTGCGGACGCGACGTGCGCACGGCGTGCAGCGCCGCTTCCAAATCAAACATCTTGACAAAGGTCAAATAACCGACCACGGTGAGCGATGCGCGATTGATCCCCGCCGTGCAGTGCACGTACGTGCGCTTACCCATCGCTTGAAACGCCGCCAACTTCCGCACCGCCTCGGGTAACATCTTCGCCTGGTCCAGTCGATCGAAATCGCGCACGTTCACCTGCACGATCATCACTCCTCGTTCGATCGCTCGCCTTCGCACGCTCTGCCAATCGATCTCCATCGCCGCGTGACACAACGAGCACTGCAAGCACACGATCGCCTCCACTCCCGCTTCGTCGACCAACCGGTCCACGTCCTCCGCGTTTCGCGGGCACGACCCGATGAGCACCCGCGCGCGCGCCATGTCCTCCTTCGTCGGTTCCTCGATCACCCTTCCCCGCGTATCGAACATCACGTGATCCCAATTCAGCGTCCACGACCACGATCCCGGCGCCGGGGCGTCCCCGCCTCGCGGCGGTCGTTTCTCCTCCACGCCCGCCGCCGCGCTCTCCGCCGCGCGCTTCTCGTACCCGCTCGCCTCGTCCCTCATCGCGTCGTCGCTCGCCTCGCTCGCGCGCGTCACCGCGACGCGTCGCCGCGCGATCGCCCGCGCCTGTCGCCTCGCGTTCGTCGCGCGCGTCGCCCCGCGCGCGACGCGCGCCGTCGATCGTCGCGCGGCCGTTCGCGCCATCATCGCCGTCGCGATCGCCTCGCGCGTCCGAGCGTCGCCTTCGACGCGCGCGGTGACGCGCGCGAGGCGCGCGCGGCGTCTCGCGCGCGCTCGAACGCCCTGCGCGCGGCGTCGAGGCGCGCGCAGGGCGTCGTTCGTCGCGGAATGCGGCCGACGAATGTTCGTGAAATGCGGCGACGAACGAGACATCGAGGCGCGCGCGACGCGACGCGCGACCCTCGCGCGCGCGCGACGCGAGCGACGGTCGATGGTTGTCTCGAACGACGCGCGCGCGCGCGAGGAGGACGTCGTCGCGCGCGCGCGCAGAGAAAATCGCGACACGGCGACGGCGCTGGTGACGATTTGGAAATCGCGATGCGAGGCGCTCACGCGCGATCTCGAGCACGCGCACGGAACGTACGAGGAGATAAAGAGAGAATTGTTTCGAGCGCGCGAGGACGCGCGAGAGGCGGCGGCGGTGCGAGAGGAGATGGAAAATGAGTTGACGAGGACGCGGCGGCTGTCAGAGTTGAATTCAAACGCGAACGCGAGCGCGGAGGCGGAGATTCGGTCGTTACGACGCGCGGTGGAGGAGGGAAATCGCGAAAGAGACGCGCTGGATGTGGAATGTCGCGCGTTTCGAGGAGAGTTGGCGGCGAACGCGGAGAACGCGGAGATTGAACGTGCGGCGGCGCGAGGCGCGCTGGACGGCGAGCGACGCAAGCGAGAGAGCGCGGAGAAGCGGGCGTCGAAGATGGAGCGAGCGGTGAAGGCGATGCGGGATGAATACGAGGCGAAGGAGAGACAGTTTTTGAATGAGCTCGAGCGCGAGCGAGCGGTGCGGGCGCGGTTGGAGGAGGAGCGCGTCGAGCTCGAAGCGGACAGACGGCGGTTTCGCGACTTTGAATCCATGTTGGCGGCGGAACGCGTCAAAGTGGTGGAAGCGCACAGCGCTGGGAAAATCGCGCAGGATGCGCTCAGAGAGCAATTGACGAAGAGTGAAAATGAGACCATGGCTCTGCGGCGAATGATGGAGACGAGGTCGACGGAGATGGCGAACGCGGTGCGGCAGCTCAACGAAGAGCTCGCGGCGCAGCACGAAATCGTTGAACGCGGGATGGCGAGTCGCGTCGATGCTTTACGAGAGACGTTTGATGATGAACTAGCTCGCGCGCGAGAGCGTGCGAATGAGATGATTGAATCGGCTAGGAAAAGTGTGAAGGAGGCGAACGAGCGCGTGGCTCGCATGGAGTCCACAGCGACGAGAGCCGAGAACGTTTCTCGCAACGCGCTGATGAAATTGAAAGAAATCGCCGCGGCGTCGGCCGATACCGAACGCGAGTGCGCACAGCTACGCACAAATTTGCATGCCGTCGGGGAAATCAACGCAAAGCTCACGCGTCGCATCATAGACGGCGAACCTTTCGTGTTGGATGAGGAACTCGACGTCGTTCGCGAGCCCGGGGCGGAGATGAGCGTCAACACGCCGTCGCCCGCGAGCGAGAGATCGCGCGGTAAACCTGCAAAATTTGATACTCGCGACATCCAGCACATCCATCGCGAGTTACAAAACGAGCTCTCCAAGCTACGCGTCGAGCACGAATCCATCGCGCGAGAAATCGGCGGGAGCTCGGGCGCCGAGGGAGAATTTCTCGCCAAGGCGCTCGAGGACGCGCAAGAGCGCGTCGAGAGTAAAGCGCGCCAGGTGAAACTTCTCAACAAGACGATACGCAGCGCCACGCATTAGAATACGATTAGATGACTTAGAAGACGAAACACTGATGTGATGATGAGACCAATGACACAAAACATGACGACATTGACACGATCTACGCTAAGGCTACTGAAGTGAATCGAGACGAGACGCTTACTCGTCGAGCAAGTAGTAGCAGTTCGCCGCCTTTTGTTCGCTGTCGAGCTGGGACTGGTACTTGTTAATGCGCGGACGGTAGTTCGTGGGATCGCGTCGAAACGTAATCTCCAACGCCTTCAGGAACATGTTCATACCCGTCAACAAAGACTGCGGCGCGTGCGCCGTCGCTTCGATGGCGGGGACGCCAGAGTACACCACAACCTTGTCCGCGAGGTACGTGGCCATGATGAAATCGTGCTCCACGATAAAAGCCACCTTTTTGGCGTGCAAGATGAAGCGCTTGATAACCTTAGACGCCCACACACGTTGCTCGGAATCCAAATACGCCGACGGTTCGTCGATGAGGTAAATGTCCGCGGGCGTACCCATGCACATCGCCAACGCCACGCGTTGCAATTCACCACCGGAGAGGTTTTGCACCGCTTGGTCCATCAACGGATCGATGTTCATAGGCTTCATAACGTCCGAAACGAACTGAGGGTGCATGTAAGAGTCGCGAATCTTCTTGTGAAGCAACTCGCGCACGGTGCCCGGGAACTTCGGGGAAATCTTTTGAGGCTTGTACGACACGTTGAACTCCGGAAGTTCGAGTTCTTCGTCGTCCGGTTGAATCAAGCCGGCGATAAGGCGAATAAAAGTCGTCTTACCCGTACCGTTCTCCCCGAGCAACACGACAATTTCGCTATCGGTGAACTCACCGGACTCGACGTTGAGTTTGAAATCGCCCTGCGTCTTCACCAACGCCGGGTATTCGTATCGCGAAAAATGTTTGTCGGTAATCTCCATCCCACTATCCGCGCCCGCGACTTTGAACGTGAGCGCCTCGTCGCGGAAACGCAAGTTCTCCGTCGGCACAAAACCGGCGAGGAAAATGTTGATGCCTTCGCGAACAGAGAAGGGCATGGTGACGACGCCGTACGCCCCGGGCTTCCCGTACAGGCAGCAAATGAAGTCGGACAAGTAATCGAGCACGGACAAATCGTGCTCGACGACGATGACGTACGTATCGTTCTTTAACAAAGAACGAATCACCCGAGACGCCTTCAAACGTTGCTTGACGTCTAAGTACGACGACGGCTCGTCAAACATATAAATGTCTGCCTTTTGGCACGCGATGATCGCGGTGGCGAACCGCTGAAGCTCCCCCCCAGATAACTGCGCCACCTGACGCTGCATGACATTCTCCAAGTCCAATTGGTCCTTGAGAAATTCCAAGTTGTCCAACTCGTTTCTATCGTTCAAGCATTGCTCGACTTCTCCCTTGACGGCTTTCGGAATGTTATCGACGTACTGCGGCTTAATCAACGCCTTCATGTCATCCTCCAAAATCTTCGTCAGATAGTTTTGCAACTCCGACCCGCGGAAGTGCGCGAGAATATCGCTCCACTCGGGCGGTTTCGTGAAATTCCCAAGATTCGGCTTCAATTTCCCCGCCAAAATTTTCAGCGCCGTCGACTTGCCGATCCCGTTTGTGCCCACCAACCCGAGCACCTGTCCCGCGCGCGGCGTCGGCAACCGATGCAACTTAAACGTGTTCGGCCCATATCTATGCGTCGTCTCTCGCTCCAAATTCTTCGGCAGATTGATGATCGTCAGCGCTTCAAACGGGCACTTCTTCACGCAAATCCCGCATCCGATGCACAACTCCTCGCTCAGAAACGCAATCTTATCCTTCGGTCCGACCTCGATGCACAACTTTCCGACCTTCACCACCGGGCACGATCGCTTACACTCTTGTTTGCATTTTTTCGGTCGGCACCGCTCGCCGTTGACGATGGCGATGCGATCGAGCTTTTCGTTCGGGTCCTCGTCTTTGTTCTTTTTGCCCATGGCGATCGTCGACGCGCCGTTCGTCGCGCGCCGTCGCCGTCGCGGTCGTCACGACGTCGTCGACGATGCCGTTCGTTTCCTGCGTGCGCTCGTGCGTGCGCGTGCGTTCGCGACGGCGTTCGCGACGCGCGCGCGAATGAGGTTCGACGATGACCTAGCACAGCCCTAGTGGTGCGCGGGCGCGAGCGTTACAAGGGCTAGTCGTCGTCTTGCGCGGCGCTGAGCATGATGAGTAAATCCTCGTCGCGAATCGCGCCGTGAACGTCCACGGCGACGTCGAAAGCGGTCTGACCGCGCCCGTTGAGGACGCGCGGGTCGGCACCGCGACGGAGTAGAACCTTGGCGAAGGCGTCTCGGCCTCTTCGTGCGGCGTAGTGGAGCGCGGTGTCCTCGGTGTACGGATTCTCTCGAGCGTTCACGTCGACGTTGTGGTGCAGCAGAGCTTCGAGGATGGCGATGGAAGCATCACCGCAGTCGCAAGCGGCGGTGAGCATGACCCAGTGCATCTTGATGTGCGGGCCTTTGAGGAGTAAATCCATGACGGCTGGTAGCGAGTTGGAGTTGATCGCCGTCAAGAGCTGCGACTCGGTCGGTTGCGCCTCGCGACGGCAAAACGCCTTGGCGACGTACTTTGAGAGTATGAAAGCCTTTCGAGATTCGAGCGACGAATTCTTGTTGGGTTTTTTCGCCTCGACTTCGGCTTTTTCGTACTCCCAACGCGCGTTCGATTGGGCGTTGCCCCAGCGCGAGAAAAATTCCAACACGCTTGGCTCCCACGCGCGCACGTCGAGCGTTGCGCTCCGAACTTTGCTCACCTGCACGCCCAACTGCCTATGAACGCCGCTGCATTGCAAGCAAAGCATGATACCGAGGTTAAGACTCGCCCAATCCGGCTCTGGCATGTCGCAATCGGCGCAGAATCCGTTGCCGGGCACGGCGCCGAGCACCGTCAAGGGTGGCGGACCGTCGTACGCGGAGACGCTCGAGATCGACGACATCGTCCGCGAATGCTTGCTCCCGTATTTGTTCACGCTCGCTTCGTGCTCTGCCAGGATTGTTTCGTTCACGCTCGAATTTAATAAACTCGCGATCGCGGTCGTGATAGCTTCCATCCATTTGCTTCGCTCCGCGTTGCTTTCGCAGCGTAAATAATACGTCTTTTCGGGAGAAACGATGCGAAACGCGAAACGCGCGTTCGAGTCGTCGTCCAAGTCGGGTTTAATCGTCGCCGTGAGCAAAGATACCGTCTCGCGTACCTCTCCTCCGCCAGTCGTCTGCGTCGAAGGCGCGTTTGACGACTTATTTCGCATCGACCCGAGCGATAACAACTTCCCGCCGAGCGCTTTCCTCGGATTGGACGAAAGCGATTTCGTGTACGTCAGCGATCCGCGCGCATCCAAAACGAAGAATCGCCGCTTCCAATCTTGAATTTTCCCGCTCGATCGCTTCAATAAATATCCTTGCATCAACGCTTCGTTTTGAGAGGACCCGTATCCCGCGGCGGACGACGCCATCTGCGCGCTCATCTCTCTCGCGCGGTCACTTACCATCGACAGTGCGTCCGATGTCGATTGCGCTTCGTCATCGCACCGCGCCATCAGCTTTTCCATTTCCTCGTTCAACGCCGCCTCTAAGTCCGCGCCCTCGGCCTCCGCCGCCGCGACGTCCTTTCTCAAAATATCCAGCGTGGGCGAGAGGCGAGTCAATATTTCCACCCCCCGACGAAAGTAATCCAACTGCGCGTCGATTAAGTCTACGGCGCACCGTTTCGTGCGCGTGTGCTTCGCCACATTCACTCGTTGCAGCGCTACGAGCAAATCCCGTCGCGCGCGCTCAAACGACAGTTTCGCCGCGCGCAACTCTTCCTCCCCTCCCGTCGTCTTCATATATCGCTGTCGCACCCCATCGTACTCCTTCTTCGCCGCATCCACCGCTTTACGACGTTCGCGCAGCTCCCCGACGTCCTTTTCCGTCGCTCTTCGCACGTTTTCGCTCGCCAGCGCGTTTCTCGTGAAATTCGCCAACCGCTCGCGTTCGCTCGACAGCGCCTCCATCGCCTCCCGCATCGCGTCCGCGCCCTCGCCGCTCCCGGTCGTCACGCACGTCGCCAACGCGCGCGTCTTGTGCGCGCACCCGACGTCGGCGTCGGACACCGACTCCAGCGCGTCCGCGAGCGCGTCGTACGTCCGGCGTCCTTCGTTCGTGAATTCTCGTTCGAGCTTCAACACGCGCTGTTTCAGCGCCGGCGAGTGCTCGAGCGCGCGACCGAACAGCGCGAGCGCATCGTTCGCGTCGCTCGACGGCACCGCGCGCGCGCACGCGTCGACGCGCGCGGCGATTTCGTCGTTCGTGTCCAACGCGTGCACGCGAGGCGGGATGATGCCCGCGCCGCGCCTGTGCGCCGTCGACGTCGAGCGCGCGAACATGCGCGACGGTCACCGCGCGTCGTCGCGTCGTCGCGTCGTCGTCGGCGCGGTCGCGCCGCGCGCGCGTCTCGCGTCGTCGTGTGCGGCGGCCGCGATGAAGCGCCGACCGCACTCGACGACGCCGCGCGGTCGCGCGACGCGCCGGCGATCGAGCGCCGCGCGCCATGGCGACGGACGCGATCGACTGCTCCGTCCCGGGCGTGCTCGCGCTGCTCGGCGACGCGCTGAGCGCGGACGCGCGGCGGCGCGAGCGCGGCGAGGCGGCGCTGCTGTCGGCGGTGAAGCGCGCGGACGGCGCGCTCAAGTCGCTGCTCGCGATCGCGTGCGGAGGCTGGACGGAGACGGTGCCGACGATGTCGGCGAGCGACGCGGAGGCGGTGCGAACGCTGGCGTGCGTGACGGTGAAGCGAAGGTGCACGCCGAGGGCGTTCGCGTCGAGGTTGACGCGCGGCGAGAGGGACGAGGCGAAGCGAGCGCTTCTGGATCGAGCGATGACGGCGGAGAGCAAGGCGCTGAGGAATGCGGTGCTGGACGTTATCGCGAAAATCGCGCGTTGGACGGTGCCGCAGGGGGAGTGGAACGAGTTGTTGGAATTTTTGGGACAGTGCGCGAGCTCGCCCGAGACGGCGCATCGAGCGTTGGCGTTTAAGTTGTTCGAGAGCCTGACGGAGACGATCGTGAGCTCGCTGAGTCATCACTTTAAGACGTTGGCGGGATTGTTTGCGAACGGACTCGTGGACGCGCACGATGAGGTGCGGGTGAGCGCGCTTCGCGCCGTCGGGGCGTTGGTGGCGAACGCGTCGGGCGAGCCCGAGGAGGTGGCGGTGATAAAGTCGTTGGTGCCGCACGTGCTCGAGGCGGCGAAGACGGCGGTGTCGAACGAAGACGAAGAGTCGGCATCGATCGTGTTTGAGGTCCTAGATGCGCTCACGGAGAGTCGCACGAGCGCTTTGAGTGGACACGTGCCCGCCGTCGTCGGCTTTTGCATTCAAGTCGCCACGGCGGAACGCGAGCTCGGGACGAGCGCGCGACGACGCGCGTTAGACGTGCTGGCGTACATGGCGCGTCACAAACCAAAGGCACTGACAAAGTCTAAGCTTGTCGAGCCGATGCTGGCCGTGTTGTGCCCGCTGTGTGGTGAGCCCAAGGAAGCCGAGCTCGCGGGCGAGGACGATCTCGAAGACGAAGACGAGGTGCACATACAAACCGTAGCGAGTCAGCTCATTGATATTTTAGCGCTTAAAGTGCCGGCAAAGTATGTCCTTCCGACGGTTCTGTCATTCGCCGCGGCGAATATCAACAATGCATCGAACGACCGCTTGCGTCACGCCGCAGTCGCCGTGCTCGGCGTCGTCACCGAAGGGTGCGCCGAGGGCGTGCGCGCGCACGCGAGCACCATCGTGCCGAGTGTGGTCGGACGCTTGAGCGATCTAAATGGACCCGTGCGAGGCGCGGCGGCGTTTACGCTCGGACAGTTTGCCGAGCACCTTGGGTTGACGTTGGAAGACCCGGACATGCACAAGCAAGTGCTGCCGAGCTTATTCACCGCGCTTCCGGTTGAGCAAGTGAAGAGCGTGCAAGAGCGCATGATGTATGCAATGGATGCGTGGTTGGAAGACGTTCAAGACGAAGTCGGCGTGTACGTCAAACCTTTGCTCGACATAGTCTTATTAGCTCTCGATAGCGGTGCCAAGCGCCACGTGCGCGAGATGTTACTTTCGGCGCTCGCGTCCGCGACGGCGTCGAGCGGGGACAAGGTGCATCCGTACTTGGGCGAACTCTTGCCTAGACTCGATCGTTGCTTGTCTCTGACGGCGGATGAAGAATTGAACGTTCGCGCGCGCGCGTTAGAAGTGCTGGGGATGTTGATTTCGGCCGAAGGTGGCAAGGAGGCCATGGGACCGCACGTGGAAAACGCCATGCAAGCCGGGCTCTCTGGGTTCGAGCTCGATTTTGCCGAGCTCCGGGAATACGCCCACGGCTTGTTTGGCGAAGTGGCGGAGGCGCTCAAGGAAGATTTCGATCGCTACCTCGCCGTGTGCGCGCAGAAAGCGTTCGCGTCGCTCGAACTGGACGATGGTATCATGTTTGACAGCGAGGACGAAGCCGATCGCGAAGAGTTGGATTCGGACGACGACGGCGACGGCGACGGTGCCGATGGTATGACGAGGAAGCCGGCGGGTTACTCCATTCGCTCCGGCGTCATGGACGAGAAAGCGTCGGCGTGCAAAGCGCTGAATTGTTATGCTTCGCATTGTCCTCGCGCATTCGCGCCGTACATCGCCAAGGCGTCCGAGCTACTCGGAGGCATGACGGATTATATGCACGAGATGGTGCGCGTGCAGGCGCACCTTGCGCTCGCGCAAACTACGATCGCGGCACTCAGCATCAACCCCGAAGGCGCGAAAGAACTGGTGAACGACTCACTCTCGGCCACGATTCGTTGTGTTTTAGAAGACGAAGATCGGGATGCGGTGGCCGCGTCCGTGGAAGCCGCGGCGCTTCTCGTAAACATTCTCAAAGAACATCGCGGGGTAGACGTCTCGCAGCACGTCATCGATCTCACCGCGGCAAGTTTGGAAATTCTAGAGGGCAACACGTTCTGTCAAGTCGAAGATGGGTATGACAGCGAAGAAGGCGACGAAGAAGGCGATGAAGACGAAGACGAAGACGTCGAAGCGGGCTTGGTTGTCATCGAAGCCG